GCCCCCTGCAGCCCCTGCATCCTTGATAGTCTACCCTTGCCCCCCCAAGTCCCTCAGAGGTTTACTTCGGGTTTTGATCTCAAGACCAACCCTGCCCCCAACTACCCCCCCCCCCCCCCCGGCTGCTGACTACTGAATCCGTTATAGGGTGGTTTGGGGCCTTGTCCACATGTACCGCACTTCAGTTTATTTTTTATTTATTTATTTATTTATTTATTTATTTATTTATTTATTTATTTATTTATTTGTTATTTTTCACTTCACAGTTTAGAAAGCACCTCCTCCCACCTGGCCCTCGGCAGGCACTCAGAGAGAGTCGCATGCAAAATCCCAAACTCCCAAGGCCTTTCTTACCCAAACTTCCTTCGTCTGAGCAAAGGGTCATGTTCCAGCCACGCAGATCCGTAAGCCCGAAGAGTCCTGGCTCTACACCTAAACTGTTGGAATCAGAAGGCACCTCTGTGTCAAAACCCAGAAAAAGTCGTGGAGCGAGGCTCCCTGGGGCCTCCCTGGTGGGAGCAGAGCAGGAGCAGGCCGAGGTCAAGGTCGGGCAAGGACTCAAGGCCACGGAGTCCTCTCTTCCTGACCCGACAGAGCTTCTCCTTCCCAGAGGAGGGAAGTCCCGGGTCTCTGCTCTGCGGTGTCCTTGTCCCACCCCCTCCATGTCAGTAGCTTGGGTGGCACTGCCTCCAGGAAGCCTGTCCTGATCTCCTGGGAGAGCTGGCTGCTGCTTTTATTTGCCCATCCACACCCCCAGCGTTTCTCCCACGGGGGCAAAGCTTCTGCTGACGTTTAACCCACATACACCAAGGACACAGATCTGTGTGCAGCTCGGGGAGCTGTCCTCGGCGTCCTCCCCCCGGGGTAGCCCACCCTCCTCTCCCCATCTGAGTACAGTCACCCGAGAAGCGCTCTCTGTGGCTGGCTTCTCTCCCAGTGCGTCCACATCGCGTCCTGACCCACGCTTGCAGAGGCTTTACTTTCCCTGCTGTATAGTGTTCCCCATGGGAAGGGGCCACACTTTATCCATTTCTGCCACCGAGGAGCATTTGGGTCGTTTTTAGTATTTGGGTCCCTAAGAAATAGGACGGCTATGGGCAGTCTCGCCCGTGAGTTTCGGGGCACGTGAGTACACGTGTCTGTTGGGTCTGTCCCCAAAGGAAGATGGATTTGCCGGGTCACCGGGTAGCCATGTCCTCAGCCCTAGCAGATGCAGCCAAACTGTTTTCCAAAGTCATCGGGCCAGTCTGTACCCCACCAATGGGATGGGAGCCGTCCTGCTGCCCCCCACCCTCGCCAGCTCTAGAGTCTGTGTGTGAGCCCTGGCTTTGCATCCGGTCACTTGTCTCTGTCACCGGTCACAGGGAGGGGATGCTTATGTGTCCACCCGCGCCCATGGGAGACACAGATGGGAGAGGAGAAGGAAGGGGATCAGAAAGGAGAGAGAGAGGCAGGGAGAGGAGGAAGGAAGGGGGAGGGGGAGGGAAGTGTAGGTTCGAGGGGGACTGGAGGGGGGAAGGGCAGGAGGGAGGGGGGCAGGAGGGAGGGGGAGGGCTGAGGGGAACCAACAGAGAATGGGAAGGCGGCCCCCAGACCGCGGGGCTCCACCGGCCTCGCTGCCCCAGGGCTGTGCCTGCTGCTGGGACTGAAGCTTGGCTCCTGGTTCCCCCAGAAACCTCAGGGCGCCCTTTCTTTCTCAACAGTTTCATTTCCGGATCAACTCTTTGGAACAGTAGTCGGGGGTCCAGGGAGAGCGGTAGATACCAGGACCCCCTCGGCCAGTCGGTCGCCGTGGAGAAAAGGACCGAGCCCTAGGCGGGAAGGGGACTCCAGGAAGCCCCCAGGTGGCCTCCCCAAGGTCCGGGGCTTGGAGGCCAAAATCCCTGCCCTGGACATGCCTGCCCTCATCCCCCATCCTGAGGCCCACCCCACCTTCCTCCTACTCCCAGGCAAGCAGGGGCACAACCCCAGGTCCAAGGCCAAGGCCAGATTCATGGGCCAGGCCTTGTGGAGGGGGGGGCACATACCCCCAGAATGGCTCCCCAGGATGTGCTGCCTGGAAATCCCTCCCGGATGGGCACCAAATGAGGGAAGCAGGCCTGTTGAGCCCTTGTGCAGCCTGGCTCCCTGCCCCTGCCCTCCTGCTTCTCTGCCCCCTGCCCCCCACCCCCTGCCCCCCTGTCCCCCTGTGCCCCTGCCTCCCTGCCTGGCATCATGGCCCCAGCCAGCCACCAACCACCCCCCACCCCAGCTGCCAGCAGCCCAGCACAGACTCAGGTGTCAGCCAGCACCCAGATAGGCCAGGGGAGCTTGTTTCCTCTGCTTTGCCAGCCTCATGCCAACTTGGCTCTTCCCAGGCAGATTCAGCTCCGAAGGAAGCAGGGAGGCTCTTTGGTCTTCACTCGGTGCAGGAATCCTGTTCCCGGACTTTCTGAGTTCCTTCAGTCTTCAAGGGACTTCACTGCCTCACAAGGGCCCCCACACCCTGGCTCTGCGGCTCTGACATAATAAAAAGCCACCGTTTTTACCACTTGGGGCAACTTCTGATGGACCAGGCACTATGTCGACCTTACATACTTTCTTTTTCCTTTTTTAAGATTTTGTTTATTAGAGAGAGAGAGAGCACAGGGGAAGGAGCAGAAGGAGAAGGACAAGCAGATGCAGGGCTCCATCCCACGATCCTGAGATCATGTCCTGAGCTGAAACCAAGAATCAAGACCTTCAGCCCACTGAGCCACCCAGGCGCCCCAATCTCACATACGTCCGTTCACAGCAGCTCCGTGAAGTCAGCATTACTGTCAGCATTCCCATTTCTGCAAAATACGGTAACAGAGGCCTAGAGCCATTCAGTGTCTTACCTAAAATCATGTCACACACACAGATTTCCTACGTCCTAGGGGGGCCTAGGAGCAGTGACACCTCAATAGCAATGAGCACACCCAATGCCCACGTCTTGGTTTCTGGACGCCAACCTTCATAAAAGAAACTCTGCTCCTTGGAGAAATGGCTGATTCTCAGGCAGGGCAAACAGGAGGTGAGCCTAGAGCATCTTATAGTGTCAGGAAGTAAGGAAATGCTCAAAAAACAAAAAGAAAAGGGGATGTCAGACAGACACAGAAGCGGATCCGAAAGAGCTCCCAGCGGCCAAAGCTGAAATGATCTGAACAACAAAATACGTGACTTGGTATTGAATTATCACCCAAAGGTACTTTAGAATAAATGGCTGATTATGTAAGTAGGGAGAAGGGACAAACCTTCCTTACGGAAGAATCCCAAATAATGGAATTTACGTAGGTACAACCACCAGGAAGTGGGAGCGTGCCTTGAGTGGGGGGTTCTGCTTGCTTCCAAAAGTCAGGGTATGGCAAGGGGAAGAGAGTAAGCTCCCAGTTAACATCACCAGGGATGCCTGCGGGGCTCAGCGGGTGTCTGCCTTCAGCTTGGGTCATGATTCTGGGGTCCTGGGATCGAGTCCTGCATCGGGCTCCCCACAGGGAAGCCCCTCCAAATTGCCTGTGTCTCTGTCTCTCTGTGTGTCTCTCATGAATGAATAAATAAAATCTAAAAAAATTAATAAATATATTTATATTTTTTAAGATTTTATTTATTCATGACAGAGAGAGAGAGAGAGAGAGAGAGAGGCAGAGGGAGAAGCAGGCTCCATGCAGGGAGCCCAATGTGGGACTCGATCCCGGGTCTCCAGGATCACACCCTGGGCTGAAGGCGGCGCTAAACCACTGAGCCACCCGGGCTGCCCAATAAAGATAAATTTAAAAAGTGAAAAAGAATTAAAAAAAAAAAAAAGATTAACATCACCAGTAATAAGTCACGTGAACCCCACGTGCCTCCCGAGATCATGTGGGGAGAAGGGCACTTCGCCTCGTTGGTATTCCTCCCCCAAACCCATAACTCCTGCCCCGTCATAAGAAAAACATCAGAGAAACCCAAACGGAGGGACAGTGTAACAAAATTCTGACCAGAACACCTCAAAATTGTCAGGGTCATGGAAACCGAGGAAGGACAGAGAAACTGTTGCAGACCAGAGGATACCAAGGAGACGCGACAACAACGGCCAGTGTGGGATCCCGGATGGGATCCGGAGCCAGAAAAAGGACATTAGTGGGAAAACTGATGAAATCTGAATAAAATCTAGAGTCCAGTTAATAGTCATGTAGTCGTGTTGGTTTCTTAGTTTTGACAACTGTACCATGGTAAGTAATGTAAGATGTTAGCAGCTGGGAGACGGGGAGGGCCTACAGAAGTCGCTGTGCCACCTCTGAAATTTTTCCGGAAATCTACAATTATTCCAAAGTAAAAACTTTATTTTTAAAAATCACATGGGAAAAAAAAAAATCACGTGGGTATCGGGCAGCCCAGGTGGCTCAGTGGTTTAGCGCTGCCTTCAGCCCAGGGTGTGATCCTGGAGTTCCAGATCGAGTCCCACATCGGGCTCCCTGCATGGAGCCTGCTTCTCCCTCTGCCTGTGTCTCTGCCTCTCTCTGTGTGTCTCCCGTGAATAAATACATAAAATCTTAAAAAAGGGATCCCTGGGTGGCGCAGTGGTTTGGCGCCTGCCTTTGGCCCAGGGCGCGATCCTGGAGATCCGGGATTGAATCCCACGTCAGGCTCCCGGTGCATGGAGCCTGCTTCTCCCTCTGCCTGTGTCTCTGCCTCTCTCTCTCTCTCTCTCTCTCTCTCTCTCTCTCTGTGACTATCATAAATAAATAAAATTTTAAAAAAATCTTAAAAAAAAAACTCAAAAAAAAAGAAAAACAAACACAAGAGCTAACGAGTGTCTTTGGTCCTCAGGCCTACTCGAATCTGGTACTTTGCCAACCGCAGCCCGCGAGGTCTAATTCAGACACAGCCTCGCCGTCCCCTCCTCTGGTTAAGACGTGAACACTCCCTGCTGGGGGGCAGCCAGAGACCCTCCTGACCTCGAGCTAGAGGAAGTGGGGGGCTGCGGTGGGGCAGCATCAGACAGCTTGCACACTCCAAGCAAAGGCATCATGGGAGTTTATTTACAGAAAAGTCACAGCAACCAGGGCCCAGCAGGCTGCGGCCAGAAGACCCCAGGTATATACATATCTGACCCCTCAGCACCAGCGCCGTCCCCAGCCGAGCCCCTGCCAGAGGGACCCAGAGTCAGGCAGCGTGAAGGCAGTGGGCTCCGGTCCTCGCCAGGTGTCACAGGTCACCTGTGCAGTCCCTATGCCGGAGGAAGGACCTGCATCGGCCTTTAGTGCGGACTTCGAGGCGCGCGAGGACAGGCTGGACCCTGCAGGGCAGGCCACGGAGCACGGGACCCCCACAGGCCCCTCCAGACCTGCCCAGGAGCTGAGCACGGAGCTGGTGTCCCAGGCCACGCCTGCCCATCATGTGGGAGGCTCCCCCAGTTTGCTGGTGGCACTTGTGATCCGCTTATTCTCTCGGAGGTTTCGAAGGCGGGCATTGAGGCTGCCGATCTCCTCCACGTGGGCCTGGGGCACCCACCCCTTCTCGCCATCTGCCAGGCGGACCCCCTCCAGCCAGCCTAGGGGCACGCAGGCCAGGAGCAGCATCAGTGGCATCCAAGGGACACCAGGGCCAGCCTGCAAGGGAATGCCTAGGCCCTGACGCAAGCCTTGTCTGCACCCCTGGGCCCAAGGAGACCTCATCCCAGCATCCCAGCCCCAGGAAGGACCCTGCCTCTCGCAGCAGTCTTGTAGGTGAACTTCTGACCTGTTTTTCCCGGCACCCTCTAAGAAGGGTGTTTCCCACTCTCCCCTGTCAGTCACTGAATCTTTCCCAGAGCAGGAAGTTCCTCCTCTTGTCTAACTTGATTCCTACATGCTGTGGTTGATCAACACTTGCATAATCTTTTCTTGTGACTTCTTAGCCACCTAGTTACCTCCTGCCCGCCCAAAACCCATGGGGGTTGGGGAGCGGGAGCCTTCCCAGGAGGCTCCTCTCACCGTCGCTGGTTCGGGTCCTCACTGCCAGGATGTCAGTCTTCTCCAGAGTCAGCTCGTCTGGCTGCAGAGCCTTGTATGTCCGGACACACTGCACCTGGGGGCGGTCTGACAGCCCAAGGGAGAGTGGGGGAGGGTAATGGGGGGTGTGGAGGGGGAGGAGAAGGAAGCAAAGGGGTAGGAGGGTGGCTGCTGCTGCTGCTGAATTTTCTCTGCGCCTCCCTCGGCCCACCCTGGCCTCTTTCCTCTCTTGCCCTAAACACAAGCCCTGGGTGAATGCCGTCCCTCCCAGCTTGGGGGCTCTCACTTCCCCAGCTCAGTCCTGCACCTCGACGCTGACCTCCAGGCCAGTGTCCAGCCGCCCCCAGGTCCCCCCCACAACAGAAATGGCCCCTTCACGTGCCCCTGCCACTACTCCAGGACTTCCTCTAATCCATCCTGCTCAACTGGGACAAGACTTACATCAGTCCCCCAGCTGAAACCCTCCCGGGGCTTCCCACTCCTCCGAATAAAATCCAAAGTCCTCCCCACATTGCCTCCTGGCTTAGCCTCCCCCCACCCCTTGCTCGTGAAGGTCAGCAACACTGGCTGCCCTGCTGTTCCCCCAACCACTCTGAGCTCCCTCCTGCCTCGGGGCCTTGGCACTGCTCGCCCTCCTTCCAGGAGTACTTTTGCCCAGATCTTTCCATGGCTGCCCCCTTCATCCTTCACAGGCCTTTCCTCTCTGGAGTGGGGTGGAGCTCACCCCACAGCCCCAACAGGACTCCTAGCCCAAGCCGGGGAATCTGCTTCAACCTAGGCCCTAGGCTCTTTCTCCCACAGTAGGCAGGCTGGCAGTCCGGGGAAAACCACAGGCTTTGGGGCCAGACCTGGCTTGAATCCCAGCTCCGCTATCCCCTGGCTGGCTGACCTTGGGCAAGTTACTTAACACTCCTGAGCCTGTTTTTCCAGATGTGAATAAAAATGAGTCTACAGGCAGCCCAGGTGGCTCATCGGTTTAGCGCCGCCTTCAGCCCAAGGCGTGATCTTGGAGACCGGGGATCGAGTCCTGCGTCAGGCTCCCAGCATGGAGCCTGCTTCTCCCTCTGCCTGTGTGTGTGTCTCTCTCTGTGTCTCTCATGAATAAATAAATAAAATCTTTTCTTAAAAAAAAAAGGAGTCTACCCCTCAGGGTTTTCATAAGGATTAAGTGAAATAAATGCATATAAAGCCCCTAACACTGGGCCTGACGCATGGCAAGTATGGGTAGAAATGAGTTCCCTTCTTCTCCCTTCTGCAGCTTGGCCCTAGCCCCCCAGCTCAGAAACCCTTGACTGGTACCCAGGGTCCCTCTGACTGGGCAGCACTGGGGCGTAGTGGCTACACTCACACCCCAGAGAGAAGCCTCTGTGTCAACGGAGCTGCTCCCTCACCCCCCACCCCAACCCCAGGGCCACTTGGGTTCCTGCCCTCTGCGACTGAGGCAAAGGGGGAGACAGCCCGGGGGCACCATGGCACCAGGCCTGGAGAAAAGGGGGATGTGGGCCTAGAGGCGGGTGGGGGAGGCAGGCTGCTACCTTGGCCCTCGCTGAAGACCTCCTTATCCTCCTGGGAGCTGGAGGGGCGCATGGCTGAGATCCACCGCTGCTTCTCACTTCTAGGGAGGGGAGGCGGAGTTGTCACAACGCAAAGTGCAATCTCCCCGGGCCACAGTGGTGAAACGGCTGGGAGAATTGGGTATGATGTCCAGACTCAGGACACCGACCACCCGCCCACCCTACAGCCCTGTCCCCAAGCCGGGGCCCCACCCAGCTGTCTGCAGAAGAACAGAGCAGGCCCAGAAGCCCCTGAACGCCAGCTCCATCCGTGTCCTGCCTCATGCCACCCTCCTGCAGCCAGACTGGGAGGGCCTGTTGCCTGCCAAGGGGTCCCCTCGCCCCCCACCCTAGCCCCACTCACTCGGTCCGGGCCCTCAGCAGGAACTGGTGCTTCGCATGTTGGCCATGGAGGAGCTGAAGGAGGAACACGTGGCCAGGGATGCCCTGGAGCTTCAGGCTCAGATCCTTCACCTGGAGCTCGGCCATCCTGGCGTGGACAAAGACGGCAAACTTCCCTAGCCTGCGGGGACAGGGGAGGGGAGGTCAGCCTGGCTCGTCCTCAGGCTCCCAACCCCCCCTCGGGACAGGTGAGTGCTGGTCAGAAGGGTTGGCTGCCCCTCTGGCTCCCTCCCCAAGGAAACTTGGCTGCCGAAGGGCATCACCTCCCTAACAGCCGGCGGAGTCCCACAAGGAATGGAGACAGCCACTCCCGCTGGTTCCCTGACCAAAGTAGAAGGTGACAAAAACTCATCCCTATCTCCGGGGCGTGCCTTCAGGTTCTCTCTGAACCACCGCCCCCTCCCAGTCCCTGTTCGAAACAGCCAACGGGGAGCCCTCCCCACTGGATGAGACCCTTGCTGCTTACTGTCTGACTCTCTAACTGGTATGGAAGGAGAACTCTGCCTTTCGTTTGCCATCTACCCCAGGGCTTGACACCGCCTGGCCCATAATTCGGGTTCAATAAACACTTGCAGGAAGGATGGGTAGGTGGGTGGGTCAAGGATGTCCCACAGATTCCTTCTTCTCAACCTGTCTAAGCAGAAGTCAGTAATTCCCACTCCAAACAGGATCCCCTCACTGTGCCCGTTCTGGGGAAGACTTCCTGAAGGTGCCCAGGAGGAAACTCAGCCATCGTTCCGGCCTCCTCCCTCCCTGTCCATACACAGCCAGACAGCAGCTCCATCCTACAAACGCAGGAACTCCCTGTCGTCCCTGGAGTCCACTTCCCACAAGCCCCGAACACTTCAGGAGCACCTACTCTCACCTGGGCAACTGCAATAGCATCTGGTCTCTCCCCTTCCAGTACATCCTCCAAACTAGACAGGAGTAAAATGTCACTCGTCTGCCTAACTCCCCATGCTCCCCATGGCCCTCAGAAAGCCCAGCCTCTGTACCATGACTTTTAACCCAACTTCCTTCTCTGCCCTTCCCCTCTACAAATCCAACCATATTAGGCTCCATCATCCCCCAAACACACTCTGCTGTTGTATCTTACTGTGACTTTGCTATATCCTCCCAAACTCCAAATTATCCTTCAAAACTGAGCTCAAATGTCCCTTCCTATTTGAAGCTTTACTGCTGGGGCAGCCCCGGTGGTGCAGCGGTTTAGCGCCGCCTGCAGCCTTCGGCGTGATCCTGAAGACCCGGGATCCAGTCCCACGTCAGGCTCTCTTGAATGGAGCCTGCTTCTCCCTCTGCCTGTGTCTCTGCCTCTCTCTCTCTCTCTCTCTCTCTGTCTCTATGAATAAATAAATAAAAATCTTTAAAAAAAATGAAACTTTATTGATCCTCACCCCATACCAGGGAATACTACAGTAGGAGAGCACCTTTCCATCAAAACCCTGACCACGTGGTTATCAGGATGTATTTTTATTGTTCTGAGAGCCCCTATGGGCACCCATCAGAGCCCTAGCACCCATCAGGGCCCGGTAGAGAAGAGCAGTTCAGTGACACTTTAGTGAATGAAGGAATAAATCAGGAATGAACCCTTCCCATAGTATAAGAAGCCCATTCTTCACCACGTCCAGCCTTAAGGCTTACCTACTCAGAAAGTCTTCCCCCTCATCCCAAACTGATAATAGTTACAGCTGATAGTGACTGAGTGTTCAGTGTGTGCCAGGCACTGTGCTAAGCTCTTTCCATGAATTATTATCAGACTGAGTCTCCCTACATGATAGTCTCTATCTTACAGATGGAAGATAGGATAATACAATGGTTAAGAGCCTGGGATCAGACATCAGACAGACCCGGCCTCCTGGCTTCTGCACTTGCTAGATCCGTGATGATCTTGAGAATAACAAGGGAGCCTACTGTCCAGGGAGATGTTTAGAGGAATGAAGAGAATAATCCACACGGCATGCCTGGCACAGAATAGGCGCTCAGTAAATGTTGGCCACTAGCCTTATGAGTCAGGGTGGAGCCGGGACTCCCAGATTGTGCTCTTGATCTCTGCTCTATTTGGCTTAGGCTCAGACCAGCATCAAGTCCTCTGCATACTGTCCAGCCCTTGGTTCTCAGGTCTGGAAAATGGACTAGCCTCACATCTCTGCCTTCTCTGGGGGAGCCTGTGAAGCTCAGGGTGCCCCAGCAGCACAGTCCGGCACAAACAGGGGCTCTCGGGGCCAGTGATGGACCGTTTGTGAGCTCCATGGTGGAGAAGAAGGGACCTGGCTCCCATCTACTTCCCCCCACCCTGCCCAGACTCACTCCTTCCGCCGGGAGAGCAGCAAGCAGTCATTGAAAAGGTGCAGGTAGACGGCCTTGCTGGACAGCTTCAGCTTGGCGGGGGGCGCTGCGGGCAGTGGGGCCAGCTCCACCAGTTCCCCATGCCGAACCAGCCAGCGGGCCTGCGAGATGAGGGGGAAGATCTGGAAGGATGGAGGAGGCAAAGGGGAGGGCAGGTCAGGCCTGGGACAGCAGGGCAGAGAGCACAGACCCAGGGCGGCGGGGGCGGGGGGCAGTGGTCGGGGATGGGCTGAGAGGAGCTGGCCCGCGGTGCCCAGGGAAGGAGGGAACAAGCTGCCCCTTTGTGGATCCCATCCTGCCAGCTGCAGGCATGCACCTTGCCCTCAAAGTGGATCTTCTTGCTCAGGTGGATGAGCTCCTCTGTCCTCTTCATGGACTGCACGCTGGTGTTGCATTCTTGCACCAGCTGGGGAGGCCGTGGGTGGGTCACCTCCTGCAGCCCCCCAACCCCAGCTCACAGAGCCTAGCCTCAGGCTCCCACCTGGGGCTCATTTGGAGATATGTCAGGGTTCTGGGGAGGCCCCGGGGAGCTGAGCTCACCTCCTTGAGGGCATCGAAGGCCTTGGTGGCCACATCTTCGTCTTCAGAGCCCTGTGCTGTCCGCTTCAGGATGTTCTGGAGGGTGGGGTCACTGCAATGAGGCAGGCCGAGCCCTCCACCCATCACCCTGCCCACCCATGGATACTCAGAAGGGGCTGTGGAGGGCACAGCACCATTTCCCTCGTGCAGCCCTCACTGCAGCCCGGTGCCCTCCAGGTACCTCCACCAGCATCTTGAGGCGGGTGATCCTCTGAAATGGCAAGATAAGGAAGGAGGTGAGGGGCAGACGTTGGCATACAGGAGACTCCTCCAGGCGAGCCAGGATGCCAGGGAACTTGGGGTTCTCCAGGCTGGAAGATGGGGAGGAGCCTGGGGTCACAGATGGGTTTGTAGATCCCATGAACTGCCAGGATTCATGACCCCAGCCACCCTCTTGGTTTCCTGGGTGCCTTCTCAGTACATCCTCCTTGCCCCTTGGGGTTGGGTCTAACCCTATGCTGGTCAGAGAGCCCTGTTCAGGAACCATTCCCCTCCCAGGTCACCCTTCTTCACCCAGTCCTCTGTGCCCACTCCCGCCTAAGCCTCCTTTATCCTCCCCTCCCCTTCAGAGCCTCCAGCCCTACAGCAGGCGCTGGTAGGTGCGCTCCTGGTAGGCCTGGTTGGTGACGTAGGGCAGGTACACTCGGCGGAAGGCTGGACAGTGGTGCAACACAATGTCGCACACGCTGAAACGCAGGACATCTGCCTCTAGCCGCTGCTCCAGGTCCTGCAGGAACCTGAGGGGTCCAGCGAGAGGTCAGGGTCAGGGCCAAGCAGAGACCCCAGACCTGGGATACCCGCCAATCACAGGCCTTGTCCCCGCCCGCTCCCTCACCTCTCGCTGGTGCTCTTGACCTCGGGCAGTTTGGAGAAGAGCCACTGCTTGTCCTGCACCCCCAGACATTCGCTCAGCTCAGCAGAGCCCAAGAAGTGGCCCACGGCCACGGACAGGCTGTGGATGTATGAGGCCTCGGATGTGATCAGCTCAAACTTGGCCTGAGTGAGGGTGGACGCGGGGTTGAAGAGGGCCGTACCGGCCCACCCCGGACACTGTGGCCTCGCTGACCACCCGCCCTCCCGACCCTGTCACTCCTTCTCCCCTCCCCCTGCTGCCCAAGCCCTGGACACCACCCCTCGTCCGCCCCCTTCTCTGGCCCCGCCTCCGATGGCCTGGTGCCAGGCGGGTCTAGGGGACCACGTCCGGCCGCGCGCAACTGTTCAAGCTCCGCTGAAGACCTTGCTTGAGCCTCTAGCTCCACCCGCACCCCAAGCGCCCTCGGTCCCTCGCCCACCACGCGTTTTCTCTCCGCAGGGCTCGGCGGCTCCGCGTCCTCGCGGACCCAGCCTGACCCCGCCCCGGGCCCGCCCCCGTCCAGCCGCCGCCGGCGCCTTGCGCCGCACCCTCGCGTCCCCCTAGCAGCCGCCCCACCTTGCCAGGTCCCGGCACCCCCCTTCCGCAGAGACGGCCCCGCTCTCCCCGCGGGGTCCCACGCCCACCTCCGGGGATGGGAGGTCCCGCCGGCCCCGCCCCCGAGGCCCCGCCCCCAGAGGCCCCGCCCCCTCGAGGCCCCGCCCCTCGAGGCCCCCTCGAGGCCCCCTCCGCCCACCTCCTGCAGCTTGCAGTCGCGCAGGCTCAGCGTGGCCAGGACGCCGCTGCCGCGCACGTCGGGGATGTCCTGCCACAGCGAGAAGGTGGAGCCTCGCGCCGAGCGCTGCGCCCGGAAGGAGCTGCTCGGGGAGAGGTTGGCGCGCGGCGGCCCGGGCCCCTCCTCCGCGCCCTCCGCCTCGTCCCCCGGGCCCTCCTCCTCGCGCTGCTGCCGCCGCAGTTCGCGGGCGCTGGCCACGTCGCTGTATTCCTGGTAGAGGACCGCTGGGCGGGGAGAGGGGCGGGGAGGGCGTGGGCGCCGCCTGCAGGCTCGGCTGCGGCCCGGCTCCCGAGAGCCGCGACCCCCCTCGTGCACGCACCACCCACTCCCGCTCCTTCCAGAGGCGCGGCTGGCGCACCCACTGCGCGCTGGCTGCTGTGCTGGCCCGCGAGGCTCAGCGCTCTCTCCCTCTCTCTCGCTCTCTCTCTCTCTCTCTCTCTCTCTCGCCCCCAGCCCCTTCCTCCCACGTACTGTTAAGGAGAAACCGAGACTGGCGCCGCTCGCTGGCGCTCCCGGAATCCAGCGCCTGCTCCTCCTGCGTGTCCAGCCTACGGAAGGGGCAGCGTCAGGGCCCCTCTTCGCCCGCACCCCCCCCCCCTCCTCCGACGACGACTGCGGGGTGGGAGACAGACAGTACCTGGGCTCCGGCCAGCCGCTCTGGCCCGTGCTCGGGTCAACAGGCGCCGGCGTCGCCAAGCCGTCCAGCCTCATCTCTCCGCGGCGCCACTCCCTTCCAGATGCTTTTCCTGGAGAGGGTGAGAGTTGAGGGTGGGTGGCTCCCAGAATGATGCTGGGCACTGGGGTGCCACACTGCGGCTGACCAGCACCCAGTCTCAGGTGTGGGTCGTGCCCCATGGTGCATCTGGCGGGTGGCCTGCTCTTAGGGTCCCCGGGGGAGAAGCTGGTACCTTCCCGAGCTATGCCAGTGCCGGCCCCCGGGGTCAGCACCCTGGCTGCTGAGTTCCGCCCCAGGCGCAGGGAAGAGTGCAGCCGGGTCATCAGCTCAGAGGCTGAGAAGCGCCTCCGCTCAGGCCCCTCCAGGCCGACTCGGGAGGGCGCAGACAGCTCCAGGGGCCTGGGCTCCTCTGTGCTCAGGGCCTGCTCTGTTGCCTGGCCAGGCTCCAGGAAGACAGTGTGGGCTTCAGGGCTGCCAGGGAGCTCTTCCCGCTGATAGACCCGCATCTTGCGCCCTATGGGGACGTGGGGTGAGAGCAGAGGCTGGCATGCATCCACTGGGCGCCCTCCCCACTCCTCCCTGCTGCTACCCTGTGGCCCTGGGCATCTGAGGGAAAGGTCAGTGTTTTTGCCAGGATCTGGTCCCCACCCCGCCCCCACCCCCAATGGGATCAACAAGAGGGGCAGTAGAGAGAGCACAGTGCCTGGCTGCAGTGGGCAAAGGGCCAAGGAGCCCAGGACAGCCACTCATTTGCTGTATAACCTCCAAGTCACTTGTCTTCTTTGAGCTCAGGTTCTCTTATCACTAAAATCTACCACTTGTTCTGCTTGTTTGGGGGAATCCTGGGGCTTAAGAGTCTTAAAAGAGCCACCCAACTTCTCCCCTATCTGCCCCACTGGGCCACCACCCCCCTACCCAGAGTGACTCACAGGCTGACTTCTTCTCTGAGCCATGACTGGCCCGGCGCTGTGGCTGTGGGTGCTGGGGACTCCAGGGTCCCTCCAGAGCTGGGGGCTGGGCACTAGGACAGTGTGGCCAGCTGCCAGCCCTGCTGGGCCGCATCCCCCCACTGGTGCAGTTCTCGGTGTCTGGGACTCCCGGGGATGGTGGCCATAGCAGCCCTTGGAGAGGAGGAGGGGTCCCCAGGGACCAGCGGCTGCCAGGAGCCCGCAGCTCCTCTGGGGTGACAGGGAAGAGATCCAGACACAGAGGACTCGGAGGCTGCAGGGTGGGCAACTCTGCAAAGGACAGACTCTCCTGCTGGCACACAGCTACTGGGCGGCGGGCAGTGCCACGTGGCCCAGCCAGGTGGGACTGGAGGGTGGCAGGTGGCCCACAGTCCATTCCTCCTTTGCTCTGCCACCCACCTGGGCCTGCAGGAGAAAAGGTATGAGAGGCAGACACGGAACAGCAGGGCTGGCCAGCAAGCCATCTTTGACTTGGGGGCCTGGACCAACTCTTGTGTACACGTATGTACAACATCTGTACGAGCACACTTCCACACCTAATTGCACGGTAATAGCTAACACTTAGGGGCACCTGGGTGGCTCAGTAGTTGAGCTCAGGTCATGATCCAGGGTCCTGGGACCGAGTCCCACATCAGGCTCCCTGCGGAGAGCCTGCTTCTCCCTCTGCCTATGTCTCTGCCTCTCTCTCTGTGTCTCTCATGAATAAATACATAATATCTTAAAAAAAAAAAAAAACACTGGGCAGCCCGGGTGGCTCAGTGGTTTAGTGCCACCTTCAGCCCAGGGCCTGATCCTGGAGACCAGGGATCGAGTCCCATGTTGGGCTCTCTGCGTGGAGCCTGCTTCTCTTCTCCGTCTCTCTCACTCTCTCTGTGTCTCGAATAAATAAATAAAATCTTTAAAAAAAAAACACTTACTTGGCACTTACTGAATGGCAGGCCAAGTACTTTCTATATATTATTTCATTTAATCCTCACAACCCTGAGTTGATGCCATTTTTTAATCCCCATTTTATAGGTGAGGAAGGTGAGACACCGGTTATTTGGCATACGGGGGAGCCAAGATTCAAGCCAAGCAGTCTGGCTTCTGAGTCTGCGCTTTAACCACCTCGTGCATTTTTAACTCTCACTGACCTATGACCAGACACACATACATACACTGTCACACAATCCATGTATGTTCCATGTACCTGCACACACGTTCTCTTCCGAGTACACACATGGACGTACACGCTTTCATAGGTACACTCGGACACTTCCAATTCACAGGCTCACGCATTCACACACTTTTTACACAACTACATATATTCACACTCTCTCATACGCACATACACGCGGACCCGTCAGATGTTTATGTACCCACTCGAGCTTTCTCCCGCTCCTGTTCTGTCTGCACGCACACACCAAGGTACAAACACACAGGCCCAGAAGTCCTTGCTTTGGTGTTACCCAGCCTCCTCTCCCAGGCCCAGAGCAGCAGCCCTCGGCGCTGAGTGGTGCCCACACCCTGCCAAGCTGGCTGGGAGGGTCACAGACTGGCAGGCGGGCCACCACCCAGATCTGGCTGGGCCCTCCAGGGACAAGGGCAGGGAGATGTCCTGGCTCGCCAGCCTGGGGCGAGAGAGGGGCTCTTCCCTGCCCCAGCTCCCAGCCCTGGGGTCAGCTTGACCAGGTTCTCTCCGGGCAGGAAGTCATCCCCAAGGAGTCTGCTGGAGCCTCAGGACAGGCCTAATGATGGAGGGATCTGAGCCCCCACAGCCCTTCCCCTGGGGCCCTCCCCTGGCCGCCCTCCTGCACCCCTCACCTCTCCAGCTGAAGGCCGCTGCCGATGTTGTTCTGCTCCGGCAGGGGAAGCCCTCTCTCTGCCCAGCTGGCTGGGGAAGATCCCACCCAGACAAAGAGTTTGATTCATCAAACCCTGTGGTGAGGCAAGCGGGAGGGAGGGAGGGAGCACGCAGCGGGCTGGGCGGGGGCCTACCCTAGCCTGGCCTCACTGTGGGCAGGCAGGGCAGCAAGGACCCCCCCACCCCCCAGAGGCTCCTCAGGCCAGAGGAGCAGTGTCCCGCCTGACAGGGCGAGGAGACCCAGGGGACAGAGACACAGAGCCCCCTTAGGGAACGTCTCAGAACAGAGACCCCAAAACACTCAAACCCAGAAAACCACAGACTCTGAGACACTCAGGGACCCACAGAAACAGAGACACTGTAAATTTCACAGGCCAGATACTCAGAGACCGATGCGAAGCCCAGAAAAACCCAGGGAGACAGATGGACAAACGTTTTGTGGCCGGCAGGGTTGCCAGTCTAGTGAGGGAGCTAAAAATGAAAACAGTTACAATCTGGGTTGGCAGGAGCCAAGCCAGAGGAACCATCAGTGCTGGGCTCAACTGGACCTGAGCATTCCAGGAAGGCTGCCTGGAGGAAGTAATGACTAACTGTTCAGGCTGAAACACCCAGGGACCCAGTAAACATCGACTGGGAGAAAATCTTGACCTGAGAGGAACAGTGACAGCGTCAGTGACCGTGGGAGGGAGGGATGGAGGAGAGGACCCGGTGGGGGACCTTTCTACCTGTGCAGGCACCCAACAGCTCCTCTGCTCTCTTCAGCCCCTCCCTGGGGCGGGGTGGGGGTGCTCCCAAGAGCCAGTTACCCTGCCGGGCCCTCCCCGCAGGGACAGCTTTAGCGCGTACCTTAAACCTCTGTCCATCTGAGCACGTCTCTATCTCCTCATCTGATAAATAGGCTAGTCATAGTAGCTTTAAAGCACTAATACGAGAATTAATGATAGCACATGTAAGGCGCCTAGCACGCAGTGGGAGCTCTATAGTCGATAGTCATTCAACGGAGTATTAGTCTTTCTCTAGTCAGGCAGGTGGCTTGGGTCATCACACAGATGGGGAAACTGAGTCACTGAGAATGAGCCCCACCCTTCTTTGAAGGAGCATATGGAAGGAGGCATGAGACCACTGCCTGCCCAAGAAGTCTCTTCCTCTCCAGGAATCTGCAACCCTCAACATGGAAATCCTACTTGCTTCGGTGGGGACCTATGTGCGAGAATACACACATGCCTCTGCTCCCTCGCATTCTGGGACATCCTCGCCCCTTGGATTCTGGAAGCCCCTGGAGCACACCCCCCCCAACACACACACCCTTCTGAGTTCCAGGGATAAATGAGCAAAAACATGGAGGCCTTGGGGCAGGAGCACCCCCTATTAAAGGCTTAGAGGAGAAGCCTGGGTGAATGTCGGGGGAAGGCGGTAGAAGGCTTTCTGGAGGGAGGAGGCTGGAGGCAGGTTCCTAGGGGGAAAGTCAGGAATGAGTCAACCTCCACCTCTGTTCAGACCAAAGAGCAAAGAGAATGACCCCTCTAGCTTGGATACCCTCTAGCTTCCAAAGATGTGGCCCACTTAACCTCAGTGCTGGGGACCAAGGAGGGGTAGAGCTGTGTTCATACTGTGTGCAGCTCATCTCTGCTAGAGAGAGAGAGAGAGAAAAAAAAAAAGGAAAAAGCCTCAGGAAGAGAACTGGTCCCAAATAGCAGGGACATTCCCTGCCCCAGACATGACCACCGAATACTCTAGGGCCAAGGATCATTCTGGAACTCACAGGTGAAAACCTTTGCCAAGGTTCAAGTCGAGCGTTGCCACTACCAGCTATGGGGCCTTAGGAGAGTCACAGCCTGTTCTTGGGCCTCAGTGTCCCCATCCGTAAAGTGGCACATAAGGTCCCTCCTGGCTGCCCCCTCTAGGAAACCTGTGTCATCTGCAAGCAGATAAGGATGGGCAGGGGCCCAGGAGGGTCCCATTCAGTGGACACTGCTAGTCACAGGGACAATGGGCCCACTTGGCAAGGCTGGCAGAGAGGGTCTCTGGGTACTACTACAGTTTAGGGAGAGCACCTCTGGCTTCCTGCGCCCAGGATTTCCCTGCCCCCCTCCCTGATCCCCCTTGCCCCATGCCCAGAGAAGGAAGGCCCAGCCATGGCCCCTGTGCCCCTTAAGGGACAAAGCTAAGTGGAAGGTCAAGACTGGAAAGAGGATCCAGGCCAAACAGGCTGTTGAACCCCAGGAGGCCATAAGTGGGTGGGAGCCAGGATCAGAGGCCAGGCAGGCAGCACAAAGGACTCACTCTGGGAAGACTGGCGGGAGGAGGATGGGACTGCTGGCAGCAGGGTGGGGCCCTACCTCAGCCAGGGAGCTCCGTCCAGCCTCCGACACGGTCCAGGGCTCCAGACCACCTGGGGGCTCTGGGGTTGTAGCCGGGTTCTCAGGGGACGATGTCAGCATGGCCCCTGAGCCGGGCAGTGCAGGATCCCGGGTATTGTGTGGGGCAGGGAGGGGGGAGGCGAAGGCGGAGGGAACCTCGCAGGCGGGCAGGCGGCTGTCTCAACGTGCCTGCTCCCCGCCCCCCTTCCCCAGAACCGGTTTGGCCAGTCTGGGGTACAAGAGGGGGGCTGGAACAATGGGAGTCCTATACCCAGGAGAGGCTCTGAAGGACCCCAGACCGATATCCTAAAGATGGGGGAAGCACTGCTCTTCCACGCTGGAAACAGGTCACCCCTCTTCTGAAGGGGTGAGATTGCTGGGGGTGGGGGGAGAGGCTTCACAGAGAACCGCCCAAGCCTTGGACTCCTCAGGGACCCTGAGAACGCTGCAGTTGGCTGACCCCTCTCTGAGCTGGCTACGGCACCTATAAAATGGGAATGCTCATCTCCATGGTGGGGGGATGGAAATCGCGAAGGACGGTAGTGTGGTGCATCCAGGACCTTCCCGGCAGGCCCTTCCAGCATCACTGCTCTCAGGAATGACCCAACCTTGCCACCTCCAATGGCCTCCTCCACCAGGAAGCCTTCCCTGACTCTAGTCCACACCAAATGAGCCCTTACTAAACCAACAGCCCAAGCAGAAGCAACCTCCAGTAAGGAAGCAGCAGCAAGCCTGCAGTCTTCCCAAGCCCATGAGAGGGAAAGCTGTTCTCTTCCTAATACTACCTGCCATTTATTTGAGCACTGCGTAATTGCCAGGCACTTAGTATTAATATCACTATGTACGCAAATACCAACACTCACGTTGCTAGTAACTTATTGTACACTATGCGCCAGGCACTGTTGTGAGCACTCCACACCTGCTTACAGGTTTCCCCCACTACTCAAAAGTCGAGTGTTCCTACGAAAGCTTTCCTAAACCAAAAATGGCATAAAATAAAGAAGCAATGACCATTAGTGTATACGGAAGAATGTCTTTAGCACTTCCATACCCCAAAAATAAGCTCTCTTGGGCTTTGCTAATACTTTTGGATACATCTTACTAACAGATGCACAAAATAAATCTAGAAAAAGCACAGATGCTCCTGGACACAGTTCAAAGCTCTGGTGGCTTGATGCAAAGATGCTGAGTGCTGTGCCAGGGAAAAGCTTGGTGGGGCAAGCTCTCTACTCAGGGTGTGTGCTGCCTCTATACAGGATCACTGCAAAACAAACATTAAACGCTATTTTCATCTTTTTCCATAAAAGCAAAAATTCTTTTTAGATTTCTCCCGGTTAGTAGCGAAAACAGGTACTAATATAGTTCTTCAGTGAAAGCCACGGGGTGTAACACAAACTTTTGAAAAGCAGGGGATACGTACTCATTCGGTCTTCAGTCTCCTCCAGGACTCTGTTACTGCCCCCACTTATCAGATGAGGACATGAGGCTTGTACATGTTAAATCGGGAATTATCTCATTCAATCTCTCGTGAGCTCTGTGAAGTCTGTTTTACAGATACGAAACAGGTCCAAGGGATTAAAGGTCATACAGCTAATAGGGGATGGAACTAATATTCAAACCCAGGTCTCTGACTCAACCACCAACCTGTGTCCCTAACCACTGTCCAGGCTTTTGGGAGGATCTGGTGAAAAGTGTGTAAACATCCTTTGGGAGGTGTCTCAGCTCTCCTGACTAACCCTTTTACTATTATTCATACACTGCAGGCCTCTATGAGCATATGGGGCAGGTGTCCAGGGCCCAGATCCCAGTGAAGTCTCCCCCATCAACTGGTAACCTTTCAGTACTGAGTGATTGGGGTCCCTCCACTCCCTTGGCCTCCAGATCATCCCTACATAATAAAGAGACGCTGCGCAGTGTGTGTGGAAACCGGGTGTCCGTGGAGAGGTGGCACGCTGGGCAGGAGAGAGAGGTTTATTGCCAGCACTGCACATAGCGCAGGAGACGGGGACAGGGAGAGGGACGCAATGCAAGGCCAGTGGAATTCGGAGAGCTCTAATCCTCTTCCCAGTTCTGAGGCCGACCTTGGGGCCGCTGGCCAAGGTACTGCCCAAACCCCGGACCAGAAGCAGAGGACCCTAAATGGAGGAAGCATCTGGGGAACCTAGGGTTCTTGGAGGGCAGTCCCGCCTCGACTCGCCCCTGGTCCTGGGCTCTGGGGACGGCCCCCCTGCTGCAGAGGACGGAAAGCAGGGCTTGGGCAGGCTGAAAAGGCTGGCCCTCGAGAGCAGAGGGGGCTCCAGCGCGGGGGAAGGTGAGAGAAGGGGCGGGGCTTGGTGGGGGCGGGGCTCGGTGGGGGCGGGGCCAGGCCCGCCGGCCAATTCTCCCTCTGGGAGAGGCCACCGCAGACGGCGGGGCACGAGGGGCGGAGCCAAGGCCTGGGGGCGGGGCCAGGGGCGGGGCCAGGGGTCCGTTAGCCGAGCGGACCTACAGCAGCGCCTCCCGGGAGTCCGCAGGCTCCCGCAGGCCAGATAGCGCTCCCGCCTTATTTTGGAACTGAGGCACCAGCCAGGCGGGGAGGCGCTCGGAGAACAGCACCTGCTGGGGGCAAGGGGGAGCCAAAGAGAGCAGGAGTCCCTCGGCTACCTCCATTTACGGAGCGCTTACTAAATGCAAGGCACCATTCTGAGCTTTCCGGGCTATTAATTCACTTAACCCTCGCAACAACACTAGGAGGTGAGTACAGTCACTACCCCTGTCTTGCAGGCGAAGAGACTGAGGCATAAAAAGCTGTTGTCATTTGCCCAAAGACACAGAGGTATCATTCGAAACCCTTGACAACACTAGGGCCCCTGGTAGAGGCAGGGCTGGAGGAAGGATCCTGAGCAAAGCTGGGGGGAGCCTGCCTTCCCTCTTTCCTCTAGGTCTGTTGCTTAAAGATAATAGTAATAGTGGTGCTATTGATTTATTGAGCACCTGCAATGTTCTGGACACTTGTGCGAGTGGTTGACATCAAATCTCCATAACGATCCTAGGAAGTAGATCCTACTCTAGAGCATACCCCCGTTTACAGCGGGTCGGCGGCAGCGCTTGAACTTGAACCCAGGCCTGTCGCACACACGAGGAGCTGAGCCTACCTCGAAGGTGCTGATGAAGCCCCGATGCACGGCCACCAGCTTCCAGTAGAAGAGGGTGAGGGTCCCCTGTGGGTCGACAAAGGCCGCGGACCTGAGCGGAGGCTCCCCGCCCCGCCCCGCAGCCCGGCCCCGCCCCTGCAGCTGTACACCCCCCCCCCGCCCGCCCCCCCAGCTGAGACGCTGCGCACTCAACTTTCCCGCCTCCCCGCTGGCACCGCCCCACCCTCCGCCTCCAGATCCAGCACCCCGCCCCCGCCAGGCCCCACTGGCCCGCAGGCTCTGCTCTCTGCCCGTTAGACAGGCCCAGACCCCCTGCCTCGACGCTCCCACTTGCCGGTCCTGGGCAAGGTAGCCTGGAGGTGCGGGCGCAGGTGTGAGGCAGACAAAGCTGTACCAGCGTTCGTACTGGTCCATCAGGCGCATTTAGTCCAAAGTAAGGCGAGGAGGAAAGCCTGCAGGGCCAGAGGGACTCCGAGGCCCTGTCTCCCAACTACCTCCACCTGGCTCCAAACCCACTCCCGTGGGCAGGATGAGCCTGCACCCAGAATCCTAGCACTCTGTCTCTATTTCCCTATCTCTGACCCTGGAATTCAGCCTCCATTTCCCTATTCCTAAGCCACCTTTCCTGGTCTCTGATCTCTATTTACCCCCTCTGAGCCCGTATGCCCCTCCTTTGCCCCATGCTCACATTCACAATGACCAGAAAGTGGGCCATGGCCTCAAGCAAAAGCAGCCAGATTGCAATGCCCTGTGCCGGCTCCACCACTGGCCTCCAATATTCTCCCACGAACTTGTGGGTGTCCAGTCGGATCTCCGCCCAGTTGTTGTTGAGCATAGCAAACAGGGGTGCCAGAGCAAGGGCCCAAAGCCCCCTCACCATGACGAGGATGACTGCAGAGCTGGTGAATAGGTGAGGAAGGCAGGTGCAATTGGGGAAGTAGGACTCCTTCAAGCCTGTCACTGGGTTCTAGGCCATCTGTGGGCCCAGAGTGGCCACCCTGGACATGCACGTTCCTGTTTGAAGAGGCAACAGATGTGCCCCCTGGGGCTCAAGAAGCTGAGTGTCACGACTCTGGGGTGAGAGGAGCCCCCCATCTTTTTCTGCCTGTGCAGGGAGCTCTAGAAGTACTGGAATAAGGTCCCAATCATTTTTGTTTCTGCAGGGCTTTCCCCCCCAAGGGCCTGGCTAAGAGCCTGTGGATGGCTGGGTGCACAGATGGGAAGGTAAACAGAAATGGAAACAACAAATGGACACACTGTGGGAGAGGGATAGACTGATAGACGGGTGGGTAGTAGATGGACAGATGGATGGATAAACCAGACAGGCAAACAACTGGCAAATCTCTATAAGTGGGCGCACAAGTGGGTGAGTAGAAGGGCAGATGGGTAGGTAGATGGATGGATGGCTAAGTGGATGAGCAGATGAAAGCATGGTGGGATGACAGGACGGATGGATGAACAGATAATGGGTAATGGATACTGTATTAGTTTATTCAATAACTGTTGACTGGGGCATCTGGGTGGCTCAGGCAGTTGAGTGTCTGATTCTTGGTTTTGGCTCACATTATGATTTCAGGGTCGTAGGATCAAGCCCCACATCGGGTTCTGCACTCACGACAGGGTCTGCTTAAGATTCCCCCTTTCCCCCCACTCACTCTCTCTCTCTCTAAAATAAATCTTAAAAAAAAAAAGCCCTAGTAACTGATTGCATACTATTCTACAGTGGATACTAGATATGATATGATGAACACCTGGAGGAGACCCAAACCCTGATGGAATTACAGTCTAGGGATCTCTGGGTGGCTCAGCGGTTTGGCCCCTACCTTCGGCCCAGGGCCTGATCCTGGAGACCCGAAATCAAGTCCCATGTCAGGCTCCCTGCATGGAGCCTGCTTCTCCCTCTGCCTGTGTCTCTGCCTCTCTCTCTC